GGATGCAGGGATATTTGTAGTCAAAGGGTCGTTTGTGCAACCAATGTTCTGGGGGTGGAAGTCGAGGCACAGGAGGGGGAGGAGGTCGAGACTCGGAGCTAGATGCTTCTTGCGCGACAGTGTTTTGTGTGAAGTTCTGAACAATGATGATTTGAGGAGGATCAGGTTGTGATGTAGGAGTGAGATCGTTGGAGGGCGGAGGTACTGCCCGGTCGGAGGGAGCGCCGGCTAGTTTCGTGTGTGCGCAGCGTGGCTCCGGCACAGTGACGTGAGATACGTAAGCCTTGCTGCCGCTTACAATGTGAACCTAAAGATAAAAATATTTAAAATCACGATAAAAGGTAAAAATCATGGGTATTTATAAAATAAAACTTTATGTAAAGCGTATAAAAAACTAATTATGAGCACAAGAATAAAATTAAAGAATATGTTCGTAAGACTTCTTTTCTTTTAATAGATGGTGATATAACTACCTATCCAATATTTATAGATGTGAAGTCTGAGTACTTTCGACAACTTTCGATCGACTACGAAGTCTCCTGCATTCGTCAATGGACATCTGCAGCCAACTTCAAACAAAGAAAGCTACAGATGCGTTATCACTTCTGAGGGCTAAGATGGAATGCCTCACAGCCTGTAATTGTAATGGCTCTCTATATCCAGCAGACCGGAACACAAAAATTGAATTCTTCAGCTTCAATACCTTGGAAGGCGGATAGGCAATCCCAGTACTAGACGTCTTGTAACTTTGACGTTACTCCCAGTCGGCGGTCTCTTTATTTAACACCTGCACCTGGCGTAACTTAGATTATTTTATTGCCACCTGTCGGAAGTGATAATATCTTTTACGTGGTAGAGCCATGCTGCAGCTATATTAGTATAGTATAGTTGTAGCACGAATGGGTCGGCTCGACCGGGGAAGGACCACGCTCTCACAGAAAACCAGCGTAAAATAGCAGCTTAACGCTGCTGTGTTTCGTAAAGTGAGTGTAGAGAACCGGAGACCCTTTTTACTGGAAAAGAGGCATTCCATCTTAGTCCTCACGGCTGACAACGCATCTGCATTTTGATTCGCAAACGAGGATAAATGTAGGTGTCTATGGGCCACAGCAACCACTTACCATCAGGTGGACTGTGTGCTCGTTTGTCACCCTATGCTATAAAAAAAATCTTTCTGACATTTCCCATAGTAACATTTTTCGACTAATGTATTTCTTTTTTCATTTAATACTGTTGATTTGTTTTTTATAATATTAAAGTGACAAATGCGCTAACAGTCTTAATAGTAAGTGGCTACTGTAGCCCAAGTACTCTTGCAACCAACTACCGGCATGGCCTATTAACTCAGTTGGTTAAAAATTTATGAATCACAGCCTGGGTGCGTTTTTTATAGAATAAAGATGACAAACGAGCACACAGCCTACCTGATGTGCATGTGAAGTGCATGCTGTGGGCAATAAGCATCTACATATTATATTCTCGATTAAAAGTCAAAATGCAGATGCGTTGTCACCGCTAAGTAATTATACTGGCTCTCTTACATTTCGGTATAAGATACCTAGATAGCTTTAAAGCGGATATATCACCCACCTGATGAATGAAGGTGGCACGAGGGGCCAACGAGGCGTCGTCCGCTGCTTTGTGTCGCGGGCGGCGGCAGCGCAGCGCGAGCAGCAGCAGCAGCGCGGCCGCCAGCGCGCCACACCACCAGCCCGCCGTGGCGCCCAACATGCCCCACCCGCCCCACTTGCCCCGCCTGGCCCCGCCGCGCAGCACCTCACATCTACATAGGTGCAAGTGTTACAGATGGGGTTTCGCTTCCTCATCCTTATAATGCGGAAGATCTTAAACTTTTCTATTTATTTTAATGATAAAATAAATGTTACGTTACACTAGGATTTTGTCTTGTATGGTGGGGGTAGTTTTCATATATAAATTTCACAAGGACAAATATCCAGACCCGTCACATAATGCCCCACGTACCTTACCTGCCCTCGCCACGCCGCACCTCACATCTACATAGGTGCAAGTGTTTCAGGTGGCATTTATGGGGATTCCAAAGTCCTGCTGGATTCCTTGCTGGTTCTTCCCAGGGCAGAGGAACTTTTTTATAGAACCAGCGGTAAAAGTAACAAATGACTTACAATAAGCATTATATGTAATCTATATTGAACAAAAACTATTATATTCTATTATATATGCTTCCTCATCTAAATTCTAATATTTTTCTATCTTTTTATTTATATTTTGTTTAAAAAAAACCTTACCTCCACACTAGGATTTTCTTCTGAATCATGGGGGCAATTTACATATATAAATTTTACAAGGACTAACATCCAGACCTGAAACAATTATTTGTAGGCCATACAAATAGTTGTGCTTTGCAAGATTTAAACCGACGGTCCTTTTTTGTTCGGATTCTACATAGACTTCAAAATATTCACAAATAGGGATTACAAATTCTTTTTACTCTTCCACTTTCTCATTTTTAGGTAGACAACAATAGCTTAATAGTTAAGGTATGGACTGCAAACTTAAGAAGGTCATGGGTTCACATTTGTCATTTTAGTACCATTGTGATCCTTAAGCGGTGTATCCACCAAAAATGTTGACAACATTTATGTTTCCAACTGTTACAACTCAACAAAAGTTACCAACATTTGTTTACATGTTGCCGACAAATGTTTCCAACAAGCGTCTCCACCGAGAGAACAAATGTTTCCAACAAGCGTATTCCTTTGATGTTGCCGCCGAAAATGGAAACACGGTTCCCGACATTGTTTCAAGTTTTGTTGCCAACACTAGGTAATTACAGAAACATATGTTACCAACACGTGTCGGCAACACAACAGTTAGTAACAAAACTTTGGTGGGGACGAGGCTTAACACATGCATTTGGGTAACGGAATTATTAGTAATGTCAAGAACACTACTAGTATTCTTTTTCTTATTAGAGACAAATGTACATAATTCAACAAGCACATTTTACACTCGACCTTATAAATGAATAAATTATTATTGATTATTGAGCTTCATCAGTTCCGAACAGTAACGGTAAAGAAATTCCAACTGCAACTATCGACAGGGTTGTTAACTTGAAGTCGCCAAAGCTAATTATATTAAGCCATTGGCCTTCAAGAAGTTTTTCGTCTTAGAAAATGAACCCCAAATATTTTGAACATTTCGGAGCTGTCCACCAGTATCTTTCAGCTCCTATATCCTGTGTCCATAGTTCAAAATTATTAAGGAAATCTGTAAAGTTAATTTTTTTTTATGTTGAAGTAGCAACGTAATGCTCATCAAAAAACCAGCAACTGATGGGTCGGAAACATCAATGGGGAAGGCATGAGTAACCTCATACTGGTAAGCGAAGAGTATGTGATAGGCCCCAGAAGATGGGGTGACCTAGTAAGTGTAGGAGGTTGCTGTATGCAGGTGGCTCCGGACGTGCTTTGTATCATTTCTAGGACGAGGCCTATGTATAAATAGTGAACTTGTAATGGGCTGTAGTGATGATTATAATGATGAAAGTAAATTTTCATAAAATTTTACCTATCGTTAATTTTGTCATTGGTTATTTTCTCTAAAATTAAAGAGCCTATAAGCATTCTTTCTTTTACTTGAACCTTAAACTTAGAACCAGTGTTCTTTTGAGGTTCTGTCTTCCTCACCCACACCTCTTTTTCATCCTCTTCTCTACATATCATTATCCTCAACTCATCATGCTACTTCTTTTATAGAATGAGGGTGATTAACGAGCACACAGTCCACCTGATGGCAAGTGGATGCTGTGGCCCATAGACATCTACATTTATCCTCGATTAAGGATCAAAATGCAGATGCGTTGTTACCCCTGAAGACTATGATGCAATGTCTCGTTTTCAGCAAAAAGGGTCTCCGGTTCTCTACACTCACCATACGAAACACAGCAGCATTAAGCTGCTATTTTATGCCGGTATTCTGTGAGTGTGGTTCTACCCCGGTCGAGCCGACTCATTCATGCTACAACCATAATATAGCTGCGACATGGCTCTGCCACTTAAAAATGTATGCTCAAAATGTATTTTTAATACTTTCTCATTCCTCATCAACCCTAGTTACAAGTATGTAAAATGTTAAGGAGTCAAATTATAATATAATAATAAATAATATAGTCTCGGAGTTCGGTGTGCCTCTTGGCAAAGGCCTCCTCCAATAATTTCCATTATTCTCTTCAGTTATAACCCACTGTTAATTTTTATTCGACCTCCCATCTTTTATTATAATTAATAGAATCAGGCTTTACTTTGCGGCAATCCATTATATAAAAGCTTTTAGAAAAATTTACTTCGCAAATATCCGCGTTACAAAATAAAATGATGTGTCTTACCTAGTATGAAGAGCACCTCCCGCCCTCCCTCAATTGCGTGTACTATCCCCGTCACCACTAATCCCAGCACCGCTACTCCCAACACCACTACACTAGGCAAGACACACCACTGACGATAATACGACACGTGTTTCGCCTCTACACGAGGCATCCTCAGGTGATATAGACTCTACGGTGGCTAACCGCTAAGTGAGCGGCGAGCCAAAACAAGTGCCTTTTATACAGACCGATGACGCAACCGCTCTCTACTTAAGGAGCGAGCGACTTCGTCATGCGATAAAACATGCAACCAATCACCGCCAGACTCACGCAGCCGTTTGTAAAATTAAAAACAAACCGCCGCGCAACGACCACCCTCCAACCACGCAACCAATCGCCGATCACCGTGAGGGTGACAAACGACCATATTGCGAGGAAACAGAAACTTTTTTATTCAATATAGATTATAAATAATACTTATTGAAAGTCACTCTTTTGTTTGATTACCACTGGTTCGGAAAAAACCTCTGTCCTGGGAAGAACCAGCAAGAAACCCAGCGGGACTTTTTTTTTTTTTAAATAACAGCTTACAATCATGATGTTACACAAATTAACAACACAACAAATTAGAAATAGCTTGGTAGCGATCACCTCATTTCCAGGGGTTATTATCATCCATAAATTCCTTAATATTATAATAACCCTTTTTATACAAACTTAGTTTAATAAAGTTTTTGAACTTTGAGCAGGTCAAACTTTGTATATTTTCGGGAATTTTGTTGTAAAAGCATATACATCGCCCCAAGAATGAATTACTGACTCGATGGAGTCGAGTAACTGGTACTACTAGCTTGTGTCTGTTCCTAGTATTTACAGAATGAATATCACTTATTTTTGTAAAACTACTTTTATTTTTGTGTACGTACATTACATTTTCATAAATGTATTGAGAGGCCAAAGTTAATATATTAATTTCCTTAAATTTTTGTCGCAGCGACTCTTTAGGCTTTAAATCATAAATTGCTCTTATGGCCCTCTTCTGTAAAACAAATATAATTTCAGTATCGGCTGCGTGTCCCCATAGCAAAATACCATACGACATTATGCTATGGAAATAGCTGAAGTATACTAGTCTAGCTGTTTCAACACTGGTTAGACGTCTAATCTTTTTTACAGCATATGCTGCAGAACTAAGTCTGCTTGCTAGTTTTGATATATGGGGGCTCCATTGAAGCTTCGCGTATAGTGTGATTCCAAGAAAAATGGTGGTATCTACAAGACTCAGTTTCTCCCCATTTAAAATTACATTAGTATTTAATTGCTTGACATTTGGAGTCATGAATTTCATACATTTCGTTTTAGTGCCATTTAAATGCAAATTATTAACATTGAACCAATTTACTAATTTAGATATAGCATTATTTACTTCGTCATATTTTAGTAATTGTCGACTTAATTTGAAAATTAAAGAAGTGTCATCTGCAAATAATACTATATCATGGTTATCCCCTACTATGTAAGGTAAGTCATTAATGTATACAAGAAACAGAAAGGGGCCGAGAATTGAGCCTTGAGGCACGCCCATTTGTACCATCGATCCGGAAGAGCTCATATTGTTAATGACAACTTTTTGCGTTCTCTTACTTAAATATGAAATAATTAATTTAAGAGCATCACTTCTTACACCGTAGTGTTGAAGTTTCCTGATTAATGTTTCATGGTGAACACAATCGAAGGCCTTGGATAGGTCACAAAATATACCCAAAGCATCCTGTGAATTCTCCCATGCATTAAAAATATATTTAATCAGCTCAACACCGGCATCAGTTGTCGAGCGACCCCTTGTGATTGGCTCTCTATTATTAGAGAGCAGGCTTAAAGATATTTAAGAGAGGTGAGTTAGTAACATTTGTTTGTTCATTCAGCAATTCAACGGTACTATTATTACTTTTTAATATCTCTAACTGTTCCAGCACACACAGCCGCAGCTAAATGCTCTTTATAACGTGTCTCGAAATTGCGACCAGTCTGACCAGTAATAGAGAGCCTCGCAATATGGTCGTTTGTCACCCTCACGGTGATCGGTGATTGGTTGCGTGGTTGGAGGGTGGGCGTTGCGCGGCGGTTTGTTTTTAATTTTACAAACGGCTCCGTAAGTCCGGCGGTGATTGGTTGCATGTTTTATCGCATGACGCAGTCGCTCGCTCCTTAAGTAGAGAGCGGTTGCGTCATCGGTCTGTATAAAAGGCACTTGTTTTGGCTCGCCGCTCACTTAGCGGTTAGCCACCGTAGAGTCTATATCACCTGAGGATGTCTCGTGTAGAGGCGAAACACGTGTCGTATTATCGTCAGTGGTGTGTCTCGCCTAGTGTAGTGGTGTTGGGAGTAGTGGTGCTGGGATTAGTGGTGACGGGGATAGTGCACGCAATTGAGGAAGGGCGGGAGGTGCTCTTCATACTAGGTAAGACACATCATTTATTTTATAACGCGGATATTTACGAAGTAAAAAAAAACATTTACATTTTGTTTTAGCTAGTGTTGCCATAACATTAAATGAAATTGTTACATATTACTATGATTGAGATAATGTATTATTGTAGGAAGTTCTTTGTAAGAGACTTTTTTTCAACCATATCACTTTTATTATTATTATTTCGAACCAGTGGTAAAATAAAAAATGACTTTCAATAAGAATTACTCATGTAATATATATATTGAATAAAAAATTATTCTATTCTATTCTATTCTATTCTATTACTGATAGTATAGTTATTACTAATAATAACTTAATATAAAAATATTTTGTGTTTATGTGTTGTGTTGGGAGTCTTACAAAGTGAAAATAGTATGAATATTACTATAATGATAACACTTGAATAGAGTAAAATGATTTAAGTCATTTGATATTCTCTAAAATGTTTGTTTTTTTCTGTGGCTTTAATTAAAATACATTTTTTTTTGAAAAATCATAGAAAAATAATAAAACTCATTTTATATGTAACTTATTTCTAGACGCAATAATTTTTGTCAACTATTTTTCTGCCATTGTTCTTTTGTGTCACAAAATAATATTTAGATATTATTTAGTTGGATTTACAATTTTTATTTGACTCTTGTGTATTAATTTTCTTGCATATTATTTAACTTCACATTTACGAAGTTTGAGAATTTTTTAAGTAAATGAGGTGGTATTTTGAGAACTAGTGGTTCTTCGAGCTATATGGCCAGCCCATTTCCATTTCACCTTACTGATTCGTTTTTTAATAATTACATATTTTGCACGAGTTTATATGTACTACTTTTATATTCAAACATACATGTAATGGGTTTTTATTCAGGAGATTTTATATATACTTTCTATTTGTATTTATTTTTAACGTGTTGCATTACAATGTTCATCAACTCATGAACATACACAAGTACAAATTGGTTTCAGTCGCGTTTTCGCATGTCAGTGCGTTCGTGTTTCTGTGTTTTTTTGTTTCGCAGATTTATAATATTCAGTTATTTATTTTCTGTGCAGTGTTTAAATAATAGATTGGAACATATTAATCATGGGTAAAAAAGGCGATGTGCCTAGAAGCGTGCATTGAAGTGGACTATATGAATGTCAAGCTCGTGGAAATTGTCCATGCGGTCGCAGCTACATTCTGCAAGACCCGCCGCAGAAGAACACAAAAACTCTCCGATCACACTCTTAATCTCATGGCTATTGGATAGGAAATGCAGCTGCAGTCTTCAACAGATTTGACAGAATACAAGCAAGTGAAGAGACAGATCTCCATCTTTGGAGCCACATGTGTGAATAATGATCCAAGTGCGAGTATTACCCAACACTATTCCGATGATACCCCGGAAGTCAGTGTGAGCGAGATTAGAATGGCTCTCCAGTACCTTAAAAACGGCAAGGCCCCAGATGAGGATGAAATTACAGCAGAGCTTCTGAAAGTGGGTGGAAAACCGGTACTTGAAGTCCTTCAGAAGCTCTTTAATTTCATTCTCCACGGTGAAAATACTCCAGAAGCGTGGAGCAGAAGTGCGGTGGTCATGTTCTTCAAGAAAGGCGACAACGCTCTCTTGAAGTACTACAGACAGATTTCCCTTCTGAGCTGCTTTTACGAGTCATTACGAATCGTCTCGCACACAGACTCAACGACTTCCAGCCTCCCGAACAAGCCAGTTTCCAAAAAGGCTTTAGTACCATAGACCACATACACACACTGGCAAATTGTACAGAAGACAAAAGAGTACAATCTGCCACTTTTCCTTGCGTATGTGGACTATGAGAAAGCCTTTTCGATTATCCGTTAAAATTTGGGCGGTGCTACAGTCCCTTCAGCGGTGCCAAGTTGACTGTCGGTATATCGAAGTGCTGAAGTGTTAGTACAGTAGGGCTACGATGGCTATCCGAGTACAGAATCAGAGTTCAAAACTTATCCAACTGCAGAGAGGTGTAAGACACGGTCACGTTATATCCCTGAAACTCTTCACCGCTGCATTGGAAGATGTTTTCAAGCTACTGGACTGGAAATGATACGGTATTAACATCAATGGCGAGTACATCGAGTGATCTTCGATTTGCTGAGGATATAGTCGTTATGGCAGAATCGCTGGAGGACCTAAGAACTGTGTCAACGATCTCAATAGTGTCTCTCAACGGATAGATCTTACGATGAACATGGACAAAATAAAGATCATGTTTAATGTCCAAGTCACACCTATGCCGGTAGTTGTTGGGAGCACTAAGCTCGAATTTGTTGACTCGTATGTTTACCTGGGACAAATCCAACTTTGACCGAGAGGTCAATTGACCGATTCAACTCGGCTGGGCAGCGTTCGCGAAATTACGACATAAATTCTCGTCAGGTAAACCTCAAAACTTGAAAACAAGATTGTACAACCAGTGCGTGTTGCCAGTGATGACATATGGAACTGAGACGTGGTCCTTCACTGCTGGCCGTATGAGGATGCTCAAAATCGCTCAACGAGCTAGGAGAGGGCTATGCTCAGGGTTAATAAACAGGGTTGATAAACTCAGAAATGAGGATATCCACAGTAGAACCAGAGTAACCGACATAGCCCAGCGGATTAGTAATCTGAAGTGACAATGGGCCAACCATATAGCTCGAAGAATCGACAACCAATGGGGAAAAAAGGTTCTCGAGTGGACGCCTCGTACCAGTGGGTGAAGTGTAGGGCGACCCCCTACTAGATGGAGTGACGACCTGGTAAGACATGCAGGAAGCCTATGTTCAGCAGTGGACTTGTGAAGGACTGTAATGATGATGATGATGATGATGAAAAAAGGTGATCTTTCACCACGTAAAAAAGCTGAAGTAATAAATTGAAATGCCCTCGTGAATGCTAAAATATTTTCTAATCGTGAAATATCACAAAGTTTGAAGGTTTCTGAAGCTAACATATGATGCAGAAAGAAGAATACTGAGTCATGGAATTAATTGAGACTAAAAGGAAAGAAAAGATGCGGCAGAAGGGCTATTTGTACTCCAAGGACAGAAAGATGTTTAAAGAAAATATGCCTGGAAAATAGATTTGCAAACACAAAACTGATAAAATCGCAATTCCAAGATGGTAATGAGAATGCTTCTGAGTGCACTGTTCAAAGAAAATTAAGATTTAGATTTTAAGGCCTGCTGCCCCACCAGTAAGCCCAAGTTAACAGCTGCAATGAAAGCAATGTGTCTGAAGTGGGCCAAACAGTGGCATGGTAAAGATGTGGACTTCTGGAGATTGGTAAGTTGGTATAATTTCAACCCAAATGATACATTTAATATAATTTTCTATGAAATAATGAAAGACCAGCACCAATGTTTAGGATGTTTATTAATTTTCTGACTTCCAAAAAGGAGACGGTACTCAATTCAAATGTATGTTTTTTTTTAATGTGTTACCTCATAACTTTTTACTGGGTGAACCAATTTCAATGTTTTTTTTTATTTGAAAGCTGGTACTTCTCTTGTGGTCCCATATGAATTTGACCAAGGTCAGACCAATAGTTTTAATTTTAATTTTAATAACTTAGTTTTTTAGTTTTAATAACTTATATTGAAGTCGCCTGTACAAAATTTTTAATTTTAAATTACTGACAGGGCTGTTTCAACAATGAAAGCACATGCGCATTGTCATCATTGAGAAAAGTTTCATCCTAACTATGTCGTTCTGTTAAGCACCCTGCAAAGTGATGATCTGATCAATCATCAGAGGATAGGGTACTGGACATCTGTATCTAGTAAAAGGTATAATGACACAAGATCAGTACAAAGAAGTCATACGAAATCAGTTGAATCTGCAGCTCAGAGAATGGTTTCTGAATGGGGAACCATTCATGTTTATGCAAGATAGAGCTCCCTGCCACACAGCATGGTGTGATAAAGCTTTTTTGAAGAGCAAAATATCCCTCTGTTGGATTGGCCAGGTAATAGCCCATTGGGGCTTGAATCATGAGAATTGGTTAAAGATGTGATCAAAAACAAAACACAACTCTTAGAAAAGATCATTCATGTGCTGTATCATCATCCTCAAATGCAGGAGACAGTACAGTCTTGCATTGATAGCATGCCACGC